CAGGCAAGTTTGCCAGGTAAGGAGTGAGTAGGTGGGGACGGTTCCCGTGGGCCATGTGGGCGGCGCAGTCTGGATTAATTGGGGGGATGCTCTGGAAGTGACATTTCTCTGCGGACCACCAAAATTTTCTCGCAGACCACCAGTGGGCTGCAGCCCACCAGCTGGCGACCACTGCATAAAACACTATAAAGTGGTATGTAAGTCTAAGTGCTATTGCTATTGCTACATGAATTTCCTTGAACCATAAATGTAGCTAAATATTAAACACACATATACTTCTAATTAATACACATCACTTAGACAGAGTGTTGTCTTACCTGAACGCTTCTTCTCAGCATGCCGATGAAGAATCCACACATGGGTTGACATATGCCTTTCTGCCCAGAGATTGAGTCCTTAAACTTTTACCATGCCCCTCTGTCAACGACGTTGGCTCTTCCTGTGCTGGACGAGGGACCTAACGGTCTCCAGGGATGGAGTGGATTCTCCATCGGCATGCTGAGAAGTGTTCAGGTAAGACAACGCTCTTTCTCCAGCATGTCGATTGGAGAATCCACACATGGGACATACCAAAGCCTGGCTGTCCCTATGGGCGGGAATTGGTCTGGTCCCCTATCAACATGCACTCGTTGGAGCACCCTCCTGCCAAAGGCAGCCTCAGTAGAGGTGAAGGTGTCCAGCTTGTAGTGGTGCACAAAAGGAGATGGTGAGGACCATGTTGCCGCCCTGCAAATCTCTTCAATCAAAGCCTATGTCACCCATGCGGCTGTAGTTGCACCGCTTCGAATAGAATGGGCAGTTAATCATCTGGGAACCAGAATAGACTGTGTCTTGTAGGCCTTGGCTATACACGCCCTTATCCAACAGCCTATGGTAGATGAAGTGACATTTAAACCTAGAGAAGACGGTTGGAACGAGACAAACAGTGGTTCAGATCTACGGTGAGGTGAAGTTAATTTGAGGTATCTACGTAGTGCCCTTCTCATGTCCAGATTGTGCCATTTCTGTTCCAGTGGATGAGAAGGTCCTGGACAGAAGTTTGGCAGCACTATCTCCTGGGCCCGGTGAAACCAGGAGTTGATCTTTGGGATGAAAGAAGGATCCAGACATAGAACCACCCTGTTTGCGTGGAAGGTGCAAAATTCCTCTCTTACAGAGAGAGTGGACACCTGACTCTTCTGGAGCTGGTCTTTTTGCGAGAGCTGATGTGGAGGCTCCTTGCCCTTCCATGCTGTCTGCTGACAGGATCTGTTCAGCCATTTTGACAGCTTTTTTAGCCCAAATGAGAAACTGTCCTGCCTGCAGCAGAACGCTGCTGCCCTGTTCTTCTATGGATGGCAGTTGCTCCTATTAAAATGGTGCTAAGTGGGGCTGGGCTCTGTGGCAGCAAGACCAGCAAGATGGGGTAGCCAACTCCTGTAACCACACGTCTCTTGAGGCTGCCTGAAATATAATAAGCTGTCGGGTTGGAGATTTTGACAGCTGAAGGTCACTGGTGACCTAAATGGCTTCCCGACTAGCCTGTGATAATCAGTCAGTTAAATACAATGAAGCTGCTAAAGCCGCAAGATTGGAGCAATTAAGAAGCCCAAAAAACAGCTGTTAAGCGGCTGCAGCACTTCAAACAAGTGGCGCTTGGGCTAGCAGTGCCTCAGGCAAGCGGCGAGCTTCCCTTGCATGGGAGATTACTCCCTCTGCTGCGTCGAGACTGGAATCGAAGTTTGGCTAGAGGGAATGGTCGATACAGATGGAAAAAAGCCTCCGCAGCACTGTGAAATCAAACCTGCCAGCACAAGATATCAGAATGAAGAATCCAGCGTTTCTACCCAAAGATTTGAGAGCCAATCTTTTGCCACGTCCCTATGGGGCAAGACTGAATCATGAACTGGGAAAGTGACAGTTGACAGAGAAGCGTGGTAAAAGTTTAAGGACTCAGTCTCTGGGCAGAATGGCATGTGTCAACCCATATGTGGATTCTCCAATTGACGTGCCAGAAAAGCTGCAAATCGTAATATATAGAAATCAAGAGCAAATTTGTTTATTTAGTAAATCATGACAGATAATTTGTTCACCAAATTTGAGATATATGTTCAATTTTTTTTTGAAATTTCAATTGCTCTAAAATAAAGGGCAGAGCCAACAGCAAAAATAAAGAAGCTGTTTCTTCTTTGCCATCTGCTTTTTATCCAATATACCTTCCTTTCAACCGCTTTCTTCCTGGAGCACAGAAAAAATTCCTATATTATAAGGTAATCTTATCTATAAACAGCTACCCTAAATCAAAACCTTTTAAAACTTTTTCCTATGGTCTATTGTGTCAAGACAGAATACATATTCAGTGTATAATGTAAGCTCATTCCTTTCCTATGTTACACAGAGCAAGAAATCTTCCATGGACTTTCAATTACATACATGTAAAGGAATAAATGGCTGAAATAACTTGATCAGTGGAATGCCTTCCAAAGGGAAGTAAGATAAAAGAATTTCCTGTTGATCTTATCATGTAGCAATCTAGTCTTAGACTGAAACTACAGCTTTAACTTCACGCTACACCAGATTCTCATTACCTTTTACACCAGAAACTGAGTAGGGTATAAACATGTCATTTCACTTCTGCAGTTTCTTCAAGAAAGGGAATGTCTATGACTCTTTCTATGCCATTTCAAAGCTCAGTAACACTTGATTTGAGAAGTTTCTTGCATGCTTATTAGCTTCAACTCAGAAAATGCCCCAGTGGTGGGATTCAATTTTTTTTACTACCCGTTCTGTGGGCGTGGCTTGGTGGGTGTGGCAGGGGAAGGATACTGTAAAATCTCCAGTCAGAGGTGGTATTTGTTGGTTCTCCGAATTACTCAAAATTTTCACTACCGGTTCTCCAGAACTGGTCAGAACCTGCTGAATACCACCTCTGAAATGCCCCTGGGACATTGGTTCATACAGTACATCTTGGTTATGTGGTTTTGAGAAAAACATCAAGTTACTTTTTCCAATTTATATATGGGAAGTTTTATTTTATAATTTTTTCTCTTTTTTTATTCAAAAAGGGCATACATTTATTTATTTCAATTTGTTATGGCCACTCACTCCAACAGACTCTGGGCAACTTACAAAATCTAATGCAGTGTTTACAAAAATTAAAAATATAAATATAACAAGACAACCTAAACTAAAACAGCTACTATAAAAAGCAACAACAACCTGCCTGTCAACACATTAATCCCAGTCATGGAACCAAAGGCAGGTTTTAAGGGATGTTTGAAATCTCAGGAAAGAGGATGCCATCACTATCCCTGTTTCAGAGAGTGGGATCATGTTAAAATAAGCATGCTTCTTAGGTCACACAAGTTGACAACATTTAACAGAAGGGAGTGCACCCATTCTGCCCAAATGTACTGGGCAGACAAATATAATGGGAGAGGGGTAATCCTTCAAATAATCAGGTCCTGTGCAATGAAGGCTTTAGAGATTTCAACCAGCACCTTGAATGACATCCAGAAGCCAACTGGTAGCCAATGCAGCTCACATAACAGAGGTGGCGCGTGTGTACAACAAGGAGTGATAGCTCTTTCAAATTAACCAAATCCACTAAAATATTTAAATGAATGGAAATGTGACGTTCAAATCATTCAGCAATCTGTTTATTTAAAATTCTTTACAATTATTTTGTCTACTTATCTGACTTTGGCTGAAGAAGACTTGATTCTTTGCTGCAATCAAAATCAGTGGCAAACTGATTTCTTTAAATCACAATATATTTCAAGGGAATGATACATGGTACCCCAGAGTGGAAGCATATGAACTGAAAAAATGCTAATGAGGTTCAGCCCCATTTAATATTTTGATGGGAGAAATCTCAGAATTCTATGCTTGACAGGGAAGTTGACAGGGCATATGGGAAGACATAGGCAAAGTATGTCTCCTATAACTGTTGCTTCAAAGATTTAGGAGATCAAAGAGCTTTAAGATTCTCTATTCAGGTTAAAGGCTGTTAAAAAGAATATCAAATGAATATCAAAAAGTACAGGTAATATTTTTGTTCATTGGGGGGAAATAGTTGAATTGTAATTTTTCTAACTTCACACCATTTATTTCAATAAATATTGATAAGGTAAACTATGAGAATTGTACTTGTACAGAACAACAAATTTGAACCAGCTGACAAAGAGCCTGATATCTCTTATTGCATCCACAACAATGGGGTTTCCATACTTTTTAATGTTGAATAGTGGGCTCTATGATACATCCTTTAGAGCATAGGTCCCCAACCTTTTTTTTGCCCCGCACCCCTAAAGAAATTTCACTCGAACCTCGCACCCCCTGAAATTTAGACTTTAGGAACTACTGAACACGTTAAATATATGGTAGGATTGAATCTTTTCAGCTATGTATGTGATGGCCACTAAATAATTATACTTAACTCTAAAATGAAAACAAAGTTAATCCATTGCATAATAAATAAAAATGCCAACATATAGACAATATCCTATTATTTACCTGGACTTTTCTCGCACCCCCTGGAATATCGTCTCGCACCCCCAGGGCGTGCGAGCACCCCAGGTTGGGAACCCCTGCTTTAGAGCAAAAGTCCCCAAACTTGCCAACTTTAAGACTTGTGGACTTCAACTCCCAGAATTCTGGGAATTGAAGTCCACAAGTCTTAAAGTTGGCAAGTTTGGGGACCCCTGCTTTAGATAAAGTTCCCTAAAGTTGAGCTCAGCTACTGGTGACTACATAAACCATTTTTTTTCCATTAAGAATTACATTCAATTCAAAGTAAACTTAGAAGGCCATTCATCATTCCTGCATTATAGACATGATTATAATGCCAACATCACTCACTGTACTGAACCTATTAGCAGTCACTTAATTAACCTTATTTACCAAATTTGAAAAGCATCTAGAGTATTACTTGGATGTTCCTTAAGACCATAATGAAAACCCTACCTTTGTTATTTTCGGTCTGAGAATTAGAGACACCAAAAGAGTGAAACAGGACTTACCAGGAATGTTGTGTATTGTTATTGCAAAAATCAACAGCATGATCCTCCTCCAACTGCTGCTTGCTGGAGCAGGAATGTTGTCTTTGAAAGTGTGGGACACTGCAGGAAGATCTGGTTGATTATGTCCAGCACCTTTCCTCCTTTGATATGGTTCCCCATTTTCACCTTTGTCTAGAGTAAAAATAAAAAAAAAGTTTATAAAACTTTAGGTTGCTGCTAGAAATGCTTAAAATAAAGAAGAGATATGTTGATAAGCATATAGAGTTTAATATGAATATAAACCAGCTTTCCCTAATATGGTTCCACCCACATGTGTTGGAAAATTGATTGAAAATTAAGGGAATCCTTCACATGCAGAAGGCATTCGTTTGGGGGGGGGGGGCGACCTGAAATGAAATATTTAATTAGAGGTTAAAAGCCTACAAAATATAGAAATGCAATAGTATATAAATAAAATGTTATCCAACCAAACAAGACAGACACAGACTTTAACGGATAGTTAGAACTGCAGAAAAAACATTTGGTACCAGCCTGCCTTCCATTGGGGACCTGTATACTGCATAAGCCAGAAAGAGGGCTGTGAAAGTATCTACAGACCCCTCACATCCTGGACATAAATTGTTTCAACTTCTTCCATCAAGATGACACTACAAGGTACTGCATGCCAAAAACAACTAGACACAAGGACAATTTTCCCCCATGCCATCACTCTGCTAAATAACTAATTCCTACAACACTGTGAAACTACCTACTAGGGCTATATTACTATTATCCTTCTCATGTTTTTTATTACCTATTCCTTATCTTCTTATGACTATAACTTTGTTGCTTGTATCTTACAATTTATATTAATTGTTTTATTTAATATCCTAGTATGATTTGTTGATTGCTTATTTAGTATCCTATGACTATCACTTATTGTATGATTTATAATGAATGTATTTTATGATTATAATCATGATTTATCACTTGTTGCTTGTATGTACACTGAGACTTTATGCACCAGAGACAAATTTTTTGTGTGTCCAATCACACTTGGCCAATAAAGATGTCAGGGTACGAATGGGTGAAGGATAAGGATAAAAATAATATATAGTCACAAAATAAGAAACATGTATATACAATGACACAATAACTGTTAATGGAAATGAGATTTTTGTATTTTTTGTTTTTAAAGAATAATTTTTTTTAAAAAAAGATGTCAGGGTAATGATGATTTAATAGCTTACCAACTGCTGTAATGATGTAATGGTGATGCAATGGTAGTAATGAGCCAGCAGGGTTATTTGACTGCTACCACTTTAAGAAGCTATATTATAAGAGAGGCACTGTTGGGGCGTATCTGTGTGTGTGTGTGTGTGTGTGCGCGCGCGCATGCTTCCGTGCTAATTGATTGTTTGTCCTTTGCCTAGTACGTGTATATGTATATGATTTGTAGAGATAAAACCACTATATTTATTATAACAAACCTCTGTGCCCTGTAATTGCTCCTGGGTTGTCTCACATAGTCATGCTGTGTGCACTCTGACAAAAGAATTCTGTTCTGTTCTGTTCTGATAGATAGATAGATAGATAGATAGATAGATAGATAGATAGATAGAT